CCACAACTGGACTGGCAAAAAAAAAAAAAATAAAAATATATATATATATATATATATATGAAAGAAAATTCCATTGGGACTATTAAGAATCAAAACAAATAGTTACATAAAAAACAGTAAATATGCATCAAAATAATTCTGAAAAATAATTCAGGACCAGTTGTAGTTGTGGAGGGTGATTGCCATAATCCTAGTTCTCAGGTGTTAAAGCAAGATGACCGTGGTGTGTTCAAGGCCAGCCGGGAAATACATATCAAAAAACTGTCTCAAAACAAAAAAGTCCTAAAAGAAAGAACTCAAGTACAAAATACCTATAAATGTTTTACATCTGAAGGTACAAGCAAAATGATAAATAAAATGTATAGCTTTATATCAGTTCAGTTTTTAATTTTTTTTCTTAAGGTGGGGAGTGGTAAATTATGGTGGGATGGGATTGGGTCTTGTATTCTTTGGGCTGGCCCATAATTCCTAGCCTGGAGTGATGTTTCTGCTGAAGTTTCCACAGTAACTACAGGTGAGTTCCAATGAAAAGGGACATAGCCCATTAGTAATTTGACCCCTTAGTAAAGAAAGGCAGAAGGCATGTTTTGATAACCAGAATCTTTTCACTAGACTCTTTTAATCTATGATACTTTTATGCAGTCTTCCAAGCATGCAATAAAAAGCTCTGTTTGTAGAAATAAGATACTGAGATTATATAATTTTCCCAAGACCTTATTACTTAATAAGTACCATAGCCAAGGCTGGAATCAGGTATGTCTGATTTCAAGTGGAAGGCTCCTTAAATTATGCCACCCTGACTGAGATTTTTATATTGACCTGACATGAAGATTTCTGTTTGAATAGAATTTTTAAGTAGTAATACCAAAGAATGAGTATCATTTTGAGAAAATTCACTTCCTATCACAAATTGGTTTAGTGTAATGTCTCCCCTTGTTTATCCATACAATGAGCAAAATTATATTATTCAAAGAAATGACTGAAATAACTTATTTTGGCTAACAGAGAAGAAAATTTTTGATTGTTTTCTGTAAGTGTAAAATTATAAAGTTAAGTATTTTTGTTTGGCCTTAAAAAAAGAAAGAGGTATTGAACATTTTGTCATTAAAGGTTGCTTTTGTTGCTTTTTGGTTTTCTGCTATAGTGGATTACAGAGGACTGTATTGTTTGATAATGTCTTTAATGCACCTTGATTAAGGCATTAGAAGACAAAAGTATATTCATAGTGAGACCTGTAATTGAAGTAGGTACATTCATTGGCCATTTGAGAAATTAAATATATAGATAAGAATCTCTAAAAACTCCAACATTAGTTTCCTGTTACATAAATTCTCTTCCCCTCGTCTCCTCTCTCCTTTTGAGCTGGTACTGAGGCTTGAACTTAGGTCCTGGAACTCCTGCTCATAGCTAGCACTCTACCATTTGAGCCAACTTTCAATTCTGGATTTTTGCTGGTGAACTGGAGACAAGTCTATTAATTTATTGATTAATTTTTAATTAACTTATTAAAGTTATTTTTATTAATTTATTGTTTTTACTCATTGTATTTGCTGTTCTTATTTATTATGCTTGTACTGGGGCTTGAATTCAGATCCTGGGTGTTTGCTGTCCCTTAGCTATTTTACTCAAGGCTGGTGCTGTTCCACTTGAGCCACCCCTCTGCGTCTGGCTTTCTACTGGTTAAATGAGGATAAGAATCTCATGGACGCTGGTACCCCAGCCTGCTTTGACTCACAGTCCTCAGATCTCTCAGCTTCCTCTGAGTAGCTAGGATTGTAGATGTGA